TGCCATAGGGCGCATGCGCTCGCCAGAAAGACAGAGAGAGAGAGAGACAGAAAGCAAGAAATCACCCCCCCCAGGGGGGATGGCCACACTGCAATCCCTTCTCCTCCATTCTCCTATTGGGATCTTGCGCACGCACATACATGCGCCCGGTGTGAGTTTTAGGCCACCAGGTCCGGGACTTGAACCACGATCGACTACATGGGAGTCCAGCAACATAGTCATTACGCTAACTGCTGGTCCCTAAAAAATCACATTAATTTGTGATAGTCATATTCTAAATAAAGGTATTACTCGAGATATACTGTGTGTAATTATTTACTACTTGTTACAGTTATCAGTTGTGCTTCCAGGGACAGAGCTACTTAATCCACGTGATGACATGCCATGTAACAGCGGCTGCCAGGCATGTCTTTATGGCTTGGTCCAGGGCATCACACTGGCAGCTGGAAATTCACCATGACGAGAGTACTTACACCAAACAGAACAGCAAACAGCAGGGTCAGGGCCTGATAAACTCCTCCTTCCCCCACCCAGCCTCATCCTGGTCACTGGGCAAGCCACTGGGGACAAACACCCAGAGGCTCCAGCTGTCCCAGGGGCTGAGGGGCTCACACCTCATGGTGCACCTCTCACCTGCTGGTGTCACACCCACTGAGAAGTTCTGCAGGACAGGGTATTCATTAGCTCTTCTGAGTTTCTAGGCAACCAGCTTGTCACCATGCTTGGGCCGGTAGCGTTCTCAACACACAGTGTGATGGACCCACAATAAGACTGTTTCCAATCAGCACTAAAACTGCAGGAGTGATGGGGGCAGGAGGCTGAGCCACCCTACACACACACACACACATGGGCTTTCCTGGGCCATTCTAGCCATGGTGGCACAGCTATAGCCGCTCCCAGCTTCCTACCTGGACAACCACCTGTGTCCTTCGGTGCAATGACCCGGACTTCATTGCAGCTTTGATGACTTCTGCAGGGATTCTCCTGGTATACGGGAACCTGCGTACAATGCTGCGAGGTTCAAAGAGGTCGGGGCTGCCTTTATCTGTCCAGGCAGAGAGGAGCTGAGTGCCCTGAGAAACCCCCAACTTACACACTTGCCAGAAAGCCTGCATGCACATGCGATCAGCGAGTGAGGGCCAGAGGCGTTCCTGAAGGCTCTCCCTCACTGAGTTCCCAGCACAGTTTTTATTTATTTATTTATTTATTTATTTATTTATTTATTTATTTATTTTGGAGAGACTTTTGCTATGGGGTGTGTGCGCTCACCAGACAGACAGACAGAGAGACAGAAAGCGAGAAATCACCCCCCAGGGGGCATGGCCACACCGCAATCCCTTCTCTTCTTGGGATCTTGGGCATGCACGCACATGTGCACAGCATGAGTTTTAGCCACTGGGTCCAGGACTTGAACCACGGTCAACGACATGGGAGTCCAGCAACATAGCCATTACGCCCCCTGCTGGTCCCTGCAGGTTTTTTCTCCCTGCTCATCTGAGGTGTCTGGAGCACACGCTGGCCTGCCAGGTGCGGTTCTGGCACCAGGAGTGGCGGGCCACATACACACTGGCCCTTCCCCCAGGGTCTGCCAGAGTGGGAAAGCTGCAGGTGCTGCCACCAGATGCCAGCCTTGAACTCAGGCTCTTCCTTGGAGATCTTCCTGACCCATGGTAACAGTACAAACCTGTGAGGTACATACTAGCCTTGTCTTACAGACCTCACGTTTGCCAGGTTTGTTCACGCTCCTGAGTCAGGTGGGGACTGCGTCCACAGAGATGAGAGCGAGTACCTGTGAGATCTCACGGCCCCACGGCCGAGGCCGTCCCTGCTACTGAGCACACCCGTTTCCATCCCAGCTTCCTGCTGTTCCCTGCGGAAGGCTGTCCTGTTAGTGTCAGATGCAACCCTGTGTGGCTGTGGGAGGCTCCAAGCCCACCTGCAGGAGATGGCCCCAGAAGGCCCCACAGCGTCAGTCATGAAACCCCCACATTCACTCACTGTACTTACAAACTCCGCAACTGGGCTGGCCAGTGCACGGTGGTTACGGCACGTGGCTAACTGCCCGTTTGAGTCCTGGACGCGGTGGCTTGAAAAACACACCGAATGTGTGTGTGTGCATCCCCCGAATTCTGAGATGGGAAAGAATGGAGGAAGAGATTGCCGTGTGATCATTCGCCACTGGAGGTGCTTCTCACTTTCCTTCACTCTCTGGCAAGTGCATGTGCCCTCCCGCAAATAAAAAAAAAAATAAAGACTACAGAAATATTGTTTTTAAATTCAAAATTAGTTTTCTGCTGTAAACAGAGCTCAGTCTAGAGAAAGACTCTGGGAAAATAGGAAAGGATGTCATTAGTTCTGGCCATGTTCCTACCTTCACGGGGCCCTGAAGACCCTCTGGGCCACCCAGGCACCTCCCGGGGGACACTGCAGGGCCAGGAGCACCTGCCTAAAGAGGTCCCCAGCTTTTGGAAATTCATGTTCACGCTGTGGCTTGAATAAACAAGCCTTCCTTACTGGCAACTGCAAGGTACGTGATGACTGCAGGCCCACTAAAACATGGCAACTCGAGAATGTTCTACACCTCAAATCCCACCCCTTGCGTTGTGGGGAAGCACTTCTGGAGAACTAGAGAGGAGTTCATTATAGTGCCAGGGGAAAAGGCCAGCTGGCCAGCCATGGTGGTGCAGCACCATCGCAGAGCTGTGATGCCCAGGTCACATAGGGGGGTCCTGGGTTCGTGCCCGAGTCCCCCCTGTGCGGGCTGGCTGTGGCTGCGACTCCGGCTGGCTGTGGCTGGAATGGACTGCGGTGTGACAACCCTGTTGGAAGTGCTTGTCTTCCCCCTTCTCTCATGGAAAAAATAATCTTAAAAAGAAAAATCAGGACAGTCCACAGCCTGGTGGCTAAGGCAGCTGGAACCCTCATGGCAGTGTGGTTCGAATTCCAGACCTAATGGCTCAAAAATCACTCAGCATGTGTGTGCACATGCCCGAAGTCCCAACAGGAGGGAGAAATGGAGGACAGGTGGCATGACCACACCGTATGGAGGATGTTTTCTCACTTTCCTTCTCTCCCTCTCTCTCCCCCCAGAGTATGCACACCCTCTGGCTAATGAAAAACAAAACAAAACAAAAAACAAACAAACAAAACAGAACCCCAACACAAAAACAAGGCTCTATGTACTGGGGCTGCCAACGACGCTCAGGAGAAACCACCCTGCCCTGTGCCCACATGGGAGCAGGTGGGGAGGTGCGGGCTCGCCCCAGGCTTCCTACTGAAAGACAAGGACAGGTCCTCTTCTCCCCTCGTCCATTTAGCCCCACCCCACAGGACACCACAAGACCTAACAATCCCCAAATGAGACCCTCCATAGGGAAACGGACATGGTGTCTGTGATGAATGGGTGGCAGGGAAATCAGGGGGCAGAAGACTGCTCTCGTGGACAGCGTGTGGTCACGCGTATGGACCCTGCTCAGCTGCTGAGGCAAACCGACCAGCTGTAGAGGCAAGCGCGAGATCAGGCAGGTGTGGCTACAGGGCGACTATTACCTAATCCCAAATCTGCTCATTCCCCAGAGAAGTGGTAGCCATTGAGGTTACGTGAGAAAGCGTCCATATGTTTAAGAAGTGCCTCCCTGAGTAAGTAGTGGTGCAAGTGTAGGACTATCTGGAGTTCACTGGAAAACACTTTAGCAAACAGGAGAAATCAGCAAATGTGGCAGAATCTTGATAGCTGTTGAATAGGGGTGCGGTTTTGTTGCGTCAGTCACCGACTGTGTGTCTGACTGAAAATGTTTTAAATTAAGAACAAAGAGCCAAAGCGATCAGTTTTCCTTCGCTCCTTGAAGTGACGGAGACAATGGCTTGAGCCACCATTGTGACAAAGGCTTGACATTCACACACAATAATCACAAGTTGGTTTCCAGCTTTGAAAAAATGGTACTTCCTGTTTTACTTGATGAGGTTACAATCCATTTTGTCAACAAAAACCTTTAAAAAATAAAAAAAATTGGGGCCAGCCCTGAAGCCTAATGGCAAAGAGAGCCAGATCCCACATGGCCAACTGTGGTTCAAATTCTGGCCCCCAGGGCTTGGTACACACCAGGCACATGTGTGTGCATGCCTCGAATCCCGACAGGGTGGACAAATGGAGGAAGAAGGGATTGTGGCATGACCACGTCCCATGGGAGTGCTTCCTCCCTCTCCCTCTACCTCTCCCTTGCACATGCATCTTCTGGAAATTAAAAGGAGAGAAAAAAAAGGTAGAAAGCTCTTGAGAGTGAGGGAGGAGGCAAAACAGAAAGGAAGAAAGAAGGAAGGAAGGAAGGAAGGAAGGAAGGAAAGAAAGAAGCAAACAAGACACCACAGCTACAAATTGCTTGCACAAACAAAATGGAGCCTAACCTGTCCCCCAGCTGACACAACTTCGACTGTCTCACCACGGGAAAGCCTGACCTAATTCCCCCCGAACAAAAGACTCCCAGCCCCTGCAAGGACGGCCTCTAGAACAGGCTCTTTGCTGTGGTCCATAGAGCCTGATGTAAGCTTTAAATGTGCAAGGCAGTTTTCTGGAACGCATTCAGCTTCCTTTGGTTTCTCAAAAAGTTAAGCGGGTTTGAAGGCAAACTTACCAGATTATATTGGGTCATCGGAAAAGTTGTGACATATATTTTCTATGTTTTTCTATGCAAAAATGAGCCATGACTTTCCTGACGACCCAATAACTCTGGCCATGCGCTGTTACAAGGAAAGATTTTCAGTTGAAAAAAACAGCAGATATTTCTGGAAGTGTTCTTGCTGGCTCCGTCTCTGACACCCATGAACACACCCAACATCCTCGTCCTGCAGACAGTGCAGGTGACCACCCCACACTGTTCTAGACATGAGAAGAGCCAGGAAAGGTCACCCAAATGGCGGGCTGCTCAGCTGCTCCAACTCCACACCAGCCTCACAGCCATGCTCCCTGCGGGGAGAGGCTACCAGACAGAACAGGCAAAACATCGTGTAGACACAAACGTTTATTTTTACTGACTGTGACCAAAGTCAACAAGAGAGACAACAGAACTTCAGGCCTTAAAAGCCCTCCTGGATTCAATGAAACACATCAGTGGCCAGGGACAGGCTGGAATCCCCTTATGTCATCATCTCCTAATCTGTTACTGTCCCAGGACAGGGCGGTACCTCTCGGGCATTGTGAGAATCTTTAATAGCTATCGCATTTTCTCATCCTTTAAATCAGGACACATTCTCTATAGCCAAGAATATCCACTTAGGGCTGGCTCCATGAGGCAGCAGTCGTGTGCTGCTCGAGAGAACTGGATTCCACGTGACAACCTGGTTTGAGTCCCTGGTGTGGCTGTTCTGAAACATGTCAGGCATGTGCGAAAGTGCCCAGATCAGCTGGGTGGAGGACTGGGGGAGGAGGTTATGGTGTGACCAGACCCTGTAGAGGGTGCTCCTCCCTCCCTCTCTCTCACCTGTGTGCGCACATGCTCCACCATGAGCAAAGAAAATGAGAGCATCAATTGAGATGCTCTTTTACTCTTACACAATGTCATGCTTGCTGGAAGGAGGACAGCACGTCACCCAGGTTTAGTTAATTGTGGAGTCCAAGGTGCTGGCTAAAGGCCTCCCCAGGGCGGACTGGAAGTGACTTTGCTGACGGGCTGCTCACTACTCATTCCACCACCCACCACTTTTCTCGCCTCGGCTGCGAGGTCTGAAGGACTGTCTAATCGCAGAGAAGATTAGAACCCACACCGTGAAATGAACACCTGCCCTCGGGTCTCCGTGACGACCTGTTCTCTAAGAGCACGTGGCTTCTCTGTGCAGAGCTATGTTCACGTCAGCGCCGGAGCCTCAGGAAGAACGCGTGTTTACACTCTGTACTCTCTAGCGGGTAATATTTATCATAGAAATCTAAAACGTATTCTTCAGTCTTGAATCCAAACTTCTGGTAGAGCAGCATAGCGGGGTTGCTTGCTGAGACGTGAAGGGTCACATCCTTGCCCATGCAGGTCTGCCAAAAGAATGGAAAAATACAAGATAAAAGTGAAAAGCCCTGAGGGAAAATGAGTCGGTGAACAAACTCGTAAGTGTAGGTAGATAGTTTGGGAAGCCAGAGGAATCAGGGATTCAGAGACACTACTACACCTAGCAGCAGCTGGAAACCAAGTGATACTTTGCTGTTAACCAAAATACTCACAAGACTAAGAAAATTAATGTTATGCTTAAAATATTTTTTTGAAAGCACTATTTTGAAGCATGCTTTTTTTCCTGAAGCAAAGGACCAAGGGGTCATTTTACTGTCAACAATATATTTTTTTAAATTAGGAGACCAGCAGGTGGGGTAGCAGTTAAGTTGCTGGACTCCCAGATGGCTGGCTGATCGTGGGTTAAGTCCGAGACCCGGCAGCTTAAAACTCATGCTGGGGGTGTGTGTGTGTGTGTGTGTGTGTGTGTGTGTGCGCGCGCGCATGTACCCAAAATCCTGAGAGGAGAATGGAGAAGGGACTCCGGCATGGCCATTCCCCTGGGGAGTGATTTTTCCAGTGAATTCATGAGGCCTATAGCAAAAATCTCTCTTAAAAATAAAAAAATCAATTACATTTAACTATGTGAAACATATCAATACCCAACACTGACAACTTGGAAGAGAGAAGATAAGTTGTTTTCAAAAAGTAGATATTATCGTGGGATCAGCAGGTGGAGTAATACTTATGCCGCTGGACTCCCATGTAGTTGACTGTGGTTCGAGTCCTGGACCTGGCGACTTAAACTCATGTTGGGTGTGTGTGCATGCATGCCCAAGATCCAAGAGGGGAATAGACTGCAGCATGGCCATCCCCCCGGGGGATGACATCTCGCTTTCTGTCTCTCTGGCTCTCTCTCTGTCTTTCTGGTGAGCACACACACCCTATGGCAGAAAAGTAGATATTATCAGGACCAGCAGTTGGCATAATAGCTATGTTACTAGATTCCCACGTAGTTGATCGCAGTTCGAGTCCTGGACCCGGTGGCTTAAACTCACTCCGGGCACGTGTGTATGCATGCCCAGGAGCCTGAGAGGAGAATGGAAGAGAAGGGATTGCAGTGTGGCCATCCCTCCAGGGGGGGTTTCCTTGCTTTCTGTCTCACTGTCTCTCTGGTGAGTGCAAGTTCCCTATAGCAAAAACCTCTCAAATAAATAAATAAATAAATAAATAAAAAGTAGATGTTACCTTATACCACTCCCCTAAATTTGTAAACATTTTCTTCCCAGACCTCTAGAAAAGATGCTAAGTTATGTACACAACTACGAAGGATTAATAATTTAAGTATAAAATTTGAAGACATTCTTCAGACATTCTAAATCCAAAGTTTACCTTCCATCCTTCTAAAACTGACAAAATTAGCTTTTCAGAACTGAGACTTCTATATTTAGCACTGGCCAATATTACGGGACAAGAGTAATAATCATTCTGTCAAAAAAAAGGCAAGATCTTAGATTCTTTAGTCAGCTCCACAGAATAAGGTACTTGTGAATTAAGAATGTGTGCTTTCTATGGGAAGACACTGAAATACTGAAGCTATTAAGAGTCCCTGAGATTTATAACCCGTGGCTCCCCAAGGGCTCTATTTAAAACTCTGTTAGAGGCCAGCTGGTGGCTGTCTTCTCGGCTTACCTCACGCTGTGTCCTAGAAAGGCACCTTGAGGTGCACACCAAGGGCAAGAGCACGCTGAGAGCATCTGAAGGGAATCTCGGGGGCAGGGTGGTGGTGGTTTCAGACTGCAGAAATACACCATCTAACCATGGCCATGCCCGAGCACTACTGCCCACGGCCACCGTGTGCGGGCACTGCACTTTACGGTCTGGCTGCAGGGCAGGGTGCCCACATACCACGACGGATTGCTCCTCCACCCAGCCAGCAAATGGGCCTGCATTAGACACCAAGGACTCACGCATGGTAGTGTCATCCCTGCCTGGCCCTTGTTGATGACAAAAAAGCAAAAAATCCTGTAAGCACTCTGCCAGGACAGAAAGGTGAACGCAGGGAAGAGATTGGTCCTGTGGGGGTGGGGGGTGAAGCCGAGAAAGGGGGTGAGATATTATAGAAAGAACCAGATGGTCTCGGTTGAAAAAACAATACATGGTAGCATTTATCAACTGCGGAGTGACTTACAGAGCCACTGCCTGAGGAGAAGGTGGGGTCTAGGAAATGGTTCGCAAGGATCCTGCCAACATCAGGGAGAAAACCAACATTCTACCATTTCCATCCTTTCTCTAAAAGAGAACTTGTCAGGGCCAGCAGGTGGTATGGTGGTTAATGCACTGGATTCCCACGTGGTTGACCATGATTCCAGCCCCAGATCTGGAGGCTCAAGAAATCACACTGGATACATGTGCTTGTGTGCCCAAAATCCCGAGAGAAGGATGGAGGAGAAGTGACCGTGGTGTGGCCATCTCTCTGGGGGGTGATTTCTCACTCTCCCTCTCTGTATTTCTGTCTCTCTTTGGCAAATGAACATGCCCTATGACAAAACCTTTAAAAAAAAAAAAAGGAATTTTGCCCACATAATATGCAATCCTCCATACCAAATGGTTTCTAAATAAATGTTAACAGAAATATTCTGGGGGGAGGGAATAAATCCTTTTTTTAATGTCAGTAGATATAATAAATACATAGTATATTCTCTTCAAATGTGATACAGATACATCCAATTACTATACATACATTATATATAAACTATAATTCAATATTAGAGTAATCTTAGACGGTTCGTGCCAGCTTATACAGTGAGGGTAAAACTAAAAACAACTGATAACAGAATATAATTACTTATTGCTCCAGTTGCACTAAAATGTTTACGAATACTTTAACAAATCACATTTACGGTCCTTCTTCTCAGAGTGGTAATGATAGAAAATTTTTTTTTTCTCTTTTGAGAGGTTTTTTGCTATAGGGTGCATGTGCTCACCAGAAAGACAGAGAGAGATAGAGAGATAGAAAGCGAGAAATCACCACCCCCCCCCAGGGGGGATGGCCACGTTGCAATTCCTTCTCCTCCATTCTCCTCGGGATCTTGAGCATGCATGCACACGCGCCCTAAGCCATCAGGTCCAGGACTCAAACTACCGTCAACAACATGGGAGTCCAGCGACATAGCCATTATGCTGGTCCCGTGATAGAAATTCTAAAAGCAGTAGTATATACTAATATATTTGGTTGTCAGGAAAGTTGTGACATATTTTTCTGTTTTGACTTTCCTGACAACCCAATAGACAGTACACGCTTTGGGGGGGGTCTCACTTTTGGTATTTTGTTTTATTAACTACACATGTTCACAAACTCATTTCTTTGTAACCTGGGTCTGTACATTACTCTTACTTATTTAGAGAGAGAGAGAGACAGCTTTTTGCTATAGGGCACAGGCACTCACTGGAGAGACAGAGACAAAAAGCGAGAATTCACCCCCCAGGGGGATGGCCACACCACAGTCCCTTCTCCATTCTCCTCTTGGAATTTTGGGCATGCACACACACACGCCCAGTGTGAATATTAAGCCGCTGGGTCTGGCACTCGAATAGCTGCTCACTAAGTGGGAGTCCAGTGATGTAACCCATTACGCCATCTGCTGGTCCCACATTACTCTTATTTTGGAAGCTTGGGGGTTTTTCTGTGTGCTTTTAATAACCTCAAGAACCGTAAGGATTGGTGTTCTTTCACTCGGTTTCTGAAGTGACGTGGGCCAGGCTGGGAAGGACAAGCTCAGCTTCATTCCTCCTCCATGTCCCTGGGGAGCCAGGGCAAGGTGATCGATCGCCAACAAGACAACACACCTGAATCAGATGATAGATCATGAAAGTTGCGATCCCTGCTCTTCTCCATTCGGGGTGGACAAACAGAAATGAGATGTACGCTTCGTTATATTTCACATCGGGCACCATGAAGCCGAAGGCAATGATGACTTTTTTATAAAGGACAACAACACTGAAGTCTGGATACTGCAGGCACTCAGACAAGTCAATACCTGAAGAAAAGAAGAAACAGGAGTCTCAATCTGTGGGCCCTTTTGAAATTAACGAATAGCCAGCTGTCCAGTCTGTACTTACAGCTGTGCCTGCATGCTAAAACAAAAACAGAATTGGAGACAAAAATACTGCCATAGATGTCACACATACAGATGATTAAAAAATATATAAATGTTAGAAAATACTGAAAGTAACATGGTCTTTTCTAAGCACATACGTTAAATGAGATAGGACAGGGAAGGAACAGAGTGCCCGTTCGGAGTTGGCCTCGCCTGGCTTTGAATTCAGCCTTCTCTACCACATGTGTGACCTGGCACATTTCAAAATGACTTAGGGCCTCAGTTTCTGCAACATTAGGATGAGGAAAACACATAGACCTGACAGAGCTGGTATGAAGACCCTCTGAGCACCAGCCACTGTGTGTGCAGTGGAAATGCAGTGGTCCACAATGCTGAAGCCACATAGGCAGGTCCCAGGTTCACGTCCCGAGGTCTTCCTGTACATACCAGGAAATGCATGTCCGTGATATGAGCTGGCTGAGGCTGATGGTGGATTGTGATGTGAAGATCCTGTTGAGAGCTGACTTTCTCTCTCTCATGGAGCAAATAAAAAAACCCCAAGGGACCAGTAGGTGGCATAGTGGTTAAGGTGCTGGATCCCTATGTCATCAACCACGGCTCAAGTCCTAGACCCGACAGATTGAAACCCACACTGGGCATGTTGTATGTGCGTGCACAAAATACTAAGAAGAGAATGAAGAAGAGATTTGCACCCTGGGGAGAGATTTCTCGCTTTGCCTCTCTCTCTCTGGTGAGCACATGTGCTATATAGTAAAAATAATTCTCAAAATAAATAAATAAATAATCCCAGGCATTCATATCAAATGTAATATTTGTATGAGCGCCACCTTTCACAATAAAGACCAAAAATAAAACATGATTCTATGCATAATGTGTGGAAAGCACTTAGTATAAGGGCAGGAGGTAGGTGATATCCTAGAATGTTACTCTTCACCCCAATACCACTCCCAACTCTGCCACCACACACACTACCCAATGATCAGCAAATAGGGATGACACAGCTCTAACCTGCATGACCTCGCACCTAACATCAGAAAGACGTGTACTATTTACTGTAGCTTCCAAAGCAGTATTATAAAACGATGCATAAAGATACACGTTTAGGGTCCGGCAGGTGTGATGGTGTGGTGGTTAAGAATGCTAGACTCCCACATGGCTGATCGTGATTGGAGTCTCGGACCCGGGGGCCTGCTGTCTCACTTTCTCTCTCTCGGTCCCTCTCTGGTCAAATTAAAAGAAATAAATAAAAAGTTAAAGAAAATAATTATTTTTAAAAAAGAAAAGAAACATGTTTATATTAGCAATTACATGTTTTCCCGGCTGGCCCTCTAGTCTACGGGATCCAGACCCCACGTGGTTGACGGTGGTCTGAAGAACAGGCCCGATGCATGTCAATGTGTGCCCCAAATCCCAACAGGATGGAGAAATGAAGAAGGGACCGAGGCATGACCAAGCCCCACCAGGTGTGCTCGCCCCTTTCTCCCTATCTCTAACCAGCACACATGCCCTCTGGCAATTAAAAAATATATATACATTTATTTAATTGATGGCTTTGGACTTCAGACGTAATTTTTTAAGGTTGAGAGGATGACAAATCACATTGGGTTTCCTCTTATTCTTCAAGTCTGTGATTGGGGCTTTTGGCTTTTTAAAAATACCTTTTGGCTGTACTAACTCTCTGTAAGGAACAGCTAAATAAGCAAAGCAGAAAGAATTACTGAGCCAAAAACAAAAGTGTCCAAACACGCCCAAGCTACCAGTCTGCGCATCTGTGATAGACATTACCTGGTATCTAAACATATGTAGAAGCAAAACAGGATGAATCTTTTATTCTGGAAGCAGAGACAAACAGGGGAGAGAAACAAACAAAAACACTGTTTATTACTTTAATTGCTGGCTGCTTCTTGATCTCAGGAAAGCAAGTAGTTATATTTTAATTATTTCTACATAGGCAGAGACAAACTAGATAAAATCATGAGTAAAGATCTTAGGGTAATGGGACATACACTGATTTTAAAAATCACTTGACTGAAATGACAGAAAACTGATCTGCCTGGCTTGGGACAGGGAACATACCAGGCCAGAAGAACTCCTGACACATGGAGTTGATCGTGGGGATGTGGTTCGGCCGTACATAGCAGTAATCGAGAGGCGAGTCGGGCTCGGGCGTCCAGTGAGGGTCACCCCTGTGCGGGTGGGAGCGGATCTGCGACAGGAGCTGTAGTTTAGGCGGCTTTGTTTCATAATCACGCCTCCAGCAACAGAGAAAATAAACACATTCAAATAAGAAAAATACTCAGTATTCTTCTTAGCTATTTGACTCACATAAACTGTGATCTACTTGAAATTTTACACTAACTTGTCTTGCCTTATACGAAAGCTGGGTTGGTGATAGCTCTATTTTTCTGGTATGAAACCTGAAACTATTAATATTCCTCAGGACAAAGCCTCTGTCCCCAGCAGGGCCCATACCAGATGTTGATGGGTAAGGAAACAGAACCAGCAATCAGATTCACCCTGAGGAGGGCTCAGATAGATGCCCCTTCAGTGCCACTGGAGGCCACCGGAGGGAACACCCAACCTTGCTGGGCAGTTTGGGAGCACCAGAGACAAGGTGAGGCTGGGCAGGACTGCACACTGCCAGTCAGCTGTCTGCCCAGGAATGTAGTGCCAGGCGAGAGGGCTAGGACGATGACAGAGCTGCAGAGCAGCAGTGGCACAGGGAGACACTGCACTTTGTCAGTCGTGGTGCCAGACCCTGTTGGGACATTTCCAGCAAGCTCAGCTTCCACTTCCAACAAGACCCATTACTGGAAACTGTCCAAGCGTGGGTGCGCATTCAGGCATGAAAGAGACATCTTTCATGTTTTTCCATCCCACACACTACTGAATATCAACAGCTGTTCTTCAGGATCTGTACGGGACTGCTTCCAGGACCCCCTTAATATGGAGGGGAGGTCTTCAAAAAGTTCACAGAAAATACATATTCTAATATGGAGGGGGGATCTTCAAAAAGTTCACAGAAAATACATATTATGAAAAAATTATGAATGGATTTCAAATTTTTTGTACAAAAATACACTTGTCATACTTTTTTTTTTAAGTTTTATTTTTTTTTTGAATCCATTTTATTCATGAGAGTGTGTACATGAAAGAGAAAGCAGTACCCTTGACAGTCTCGCCATACCACAATACCCTTTGCTCAGACTCCAGCTCATCAGGATCTTGGGCATGCAGCCACGTGCTCGGTGTGCTTTCAAGCCAACCCAGGAATCCAAACCAGTGGTTGGCATATGGCTTCCAGCACTGTAGTTTGCTACGGGCTATACCACCAGGCTGGGTCGCAACTCATACTTTAATTCTATTTTCCACGACCTTTTTGAAATTGCCTTGTTTAAAATGGCATATGTGCATAAAACCTATGTATACATATTTTTTCCATTTTGCCATAGGGTACATACACTTGCTGAATAGCTATGCAGAGGGTGAAGGGTCGGAAACGGGGGTGAGGCCTGGGAGGGACTAGGGGTTGAGAAAGCATCACCAGGGGGGATGGCCACGCTACAATCCCTTTTCCTCCATTCTCTCAGGATTCTGGGCATGCACAACTCTGCACCCAGCATGTTTCTCAAACCTCTAAGTCTAGTATCAATCACACAGTCAGCCATGGGGGATCAAGCTGCCCTAACTACCCTGCCACCAGCTGGCCCCTCCTGTATACTTTAAATCACATCTAGATTATTTATATGTGATCTTAGCATCACATATAATAAACACTAGTTACATAAAAATATGTGGATACATTTCATCAGCATCTGTCTTTTAGGGAGCCACCTCTTCCCCCATTTCCTAACTGGCGTGGCTGGGCTGCATCCAGTTGGATGAACCCTCAGGCGCAGCACCTGTGGGATAAGGAGGGCCAACCGTACCAACTGTACTGCTTTAATATTTCAAAGAAAACAAGGAAGACATCTAACAATAAAGTCATCCTTGTTTTAATGTTTCTTGCAAAGAACCACCTTTTCTGCAAAAACATACAGCTGAAATCAGTGAAGGATGAAATTAAATACGGGGCACAGGAAGAACTGTCAATGCCCGTTTGCTTGGCTCTGGTCTTCATTCAGTTCAGTGGGAGAAAGGGGTGCCTGAGCCACAAACGTCGGCCCTCTCCACACACGTGACATGACACCACTTCTTCGGATACCTGATATAAGGCTTCAAGATCCGAGAAGTGTAAGGGCTGACGATACTTTGGTCCACAGCCATATCTTCTGATCCTACCAAACGATACAAAAACTTTGTGGTCTGGTGTCGAAATCCTTTCCTGGATGGCAAGGCAGTCTGTGAAAGAGAAACACTAGTTTATGAAAGTAAAACTACTCAGAGGACTGGCTGATTTTCACCTACAATTTATTTATATTTTTATGTGTTAGGAAGGCGATCTTTTTTTGCATTATTTACTTGGAAAGCTCATCTTTCAATACAAACTTTGTAGAAAACTTTGCGTAAAACTAGATAAGAAAAACTAGCCTTGGTTCTAAAAGTTTAAAATCAAAACACTTTTTAAAAAGTTATTTATTTAGGGGCCAGCAGGCTGTGTGATGGTTAAGGCACTGGGCTCACACAGTCAACCACAGTTCAAGTCCAAGACTTGCTTTTGGTGACTTGCTTTTTCACTTTCTCTCTCTCTCTTTCTCTGTGTGTCTCTCTGATCAAATTTAAAATAATAATAATAATAAATAAAATTAAACAAAGTAATTATTTTGTTTCTAAGAGATTTTTGCTACAGGGCATGTGCACTCGCCAGAGAATAGAGAGAAAGAAAGCAAGAAATCGCCCCCTAGGGGGGATGGCCATGCCGCAATCCCTTCTCCTCCACATTCTTCTTGGGATTTTGGGCCCGCATGCACACGAATCTGGCATGAGTTTTAAACCTCCCAGCCCAGGACCCAAAACCACAGTTGACTATGTGGGAGTCTAGCGATGTAACCATCACGCCATCTTCTGGTCCCAAATAAAGTAATTCTTTAAAAAAAATAAAGTTATTTAAAAATTTTGAGTCACATGAGTGAAATGCAGGATTCAATGCTGGGTTTACTGCTTCTCCAGGCTTCATTTTGTGTGTATTACGGCTTCAACCAATTCACTACATATTAACTAGCACTAGTAGCATCAAGCAGTTAACACATACATGGGTCAGACTGCATGCCTCTCTGTTATCCAAAGAGCCATGAGGGGCCAATTACTACAGATCCCGTATATTGATTTTTTTGAAATGTGTGTTTTCCAATGAGTGAATTTTACCAAAATGGAAGTAGTGTAGATTATCATCCCTAAGGCAAATCCCAATGGCAGAGTGGCCTTACCAGAGGTTCAGTGAGGACACGGTCCTAACGGAACTGGGGGATTTCAGGTACTTCCCTGTGAACCCCAAAGCCAGGCTGGAGATGTGCTTTCTTCAGTGGGCCCTCAGTCATGTAGTAACAAAACATGTGCACTTAGGGTTTTCCAGCCATGGGCATGGATGGAAGATTAAAAGGCACATTTATAAAGTGGTACGCGGGGCTGGATAAAGTTTAGAAACCTGAGTTGTTTTTGTGGAATCAGTTTGCTCGTACCCTAGAAAATAACTTTGTGGAAAGAATAGCAAGAACCCTTCCTTTATAATCTGCTCTCATACTTTCCCTGAACTGGACGCCCACATTTTCAAAGGCCAACTTTGAAATTCTTCCACAGTTTAAAGTTTCCAAGTAAACATCAAAGCTGTGCTATACATTTTCTAAATATGGACGCTAACTCCTCCCATCCCTGCAGGTGTAAATGGCTCCTCATAGCAAAAGGCAGTCCCTCTCCATTTCCCCTGAATCCGTGTGGGCCTTGGGATCACTCGCCACCAGTCAGAAAGTGACAGCTGTAACATCCTGGGACTTTTGAGCTCAGGTCTTAAGACGTCTGGCATTCTGCTTCACTCTAAGCTTCCTCCTGCAGTCCAGAGGCCATGCTATCCAGCTAACCCAGGAAGGACTGGAGGCCACATGCAGACAGGCTCTGAGGAAGACGAGCTACCTTGGTCATTCCAGTCCCAACCCAGGGACCAGGCAATGCAGCCTCAATGAGCGACCTCAGCCTCGGGAATGTGGAGTAGAACCAGCACATGGTTGAGTCCAGTCAGTCCACAGAATCAGGAGAAATATCAAGAAATATCAAATATCAGCCACCTAGTTTTGGGATGATTTGCAATGCTGCAACAGGTAACACAGTCCTCTAGGGTCAAGGTCAGTATGGTAGCAGAGTGGAGGGGTAAAGGAAGGGGCACACTCTGCCTTAGGGAGTTGAGGCCAGCCTCTCTACAGAGGTCACGCTTGAACTGAGCCCTGGTTCACAGGAAGGAAGGAGCCAGGTCGAAAAAGGTTCAGGGCTGAAGGCCTGAGCGCAGTCCCTAGGACGTGGATGGCAGAGGAGCTTGGTGCTGGGAAGTGAGGCCCCCGTTTGAACTGTGTTCTGAACATACAGCAGGGTGAACTGAGTCCTGGTTCACAGGAAGGAAGGAGCCAGGCCGAAAAAGGTTCAGGGCTGAAGGCCCGAGCGCAGTCCCTAGGACGTGGGGATGGCAGAGGAGCTTGGTGCTGGGAAGTGAGGCCCCCGTTTGAACTGTGTTCTGAACATACAGCAGGGAGCCGTAGAGGAATTTTCACCAATGGAAGTGAATTCATGTTTTTAAAAAAGAGTTGACTTCTGTGAGTAGAGTGGATGACAGGGGTTAGAACGGCAGCACAGAGAGCAGGAGGAGACAGTGGAAGTGGTCCAGGCAGTCGGGAGTGGTTCAGAGGAGGGCAGAAGCAGTGGGCTTGGAAAGGAGTTGGGGAACTGCATAACACTACACTGATGGATTCCCACAGAGCTCACCTTGAGACAATGACTAATGGAGGGAGGGGGATCCTTTTAATTACAAACTCAATCCATCTGGTGTATTTCAGAAGGTGCAATACTTTTCTTAATTTATCAGTGATTAAACAAGTTAGAAATTAACTTCCCCAAAAATCAGTAAATGGCAAAAAAATTTCCTAGAACATCAGTCATGTATATAGCACAACCTAAAAAAGAGGAGGGGCAAGATAGCTTCCACCCACTCTCATGAGTTTAATCAAATACTGGATCTACTCAAAGGCGGCAAGAAAAGGCAACTTTCAAAAAGGAATATGTTATTAAATGATTGCTCTCAGTTTTCAAGTATATGTGCGCACTCACCTGGTAGCGGTCAAGGATTCTGAAGTCTTGACAGGTTGTTCTGTACGTGGCTTGTCCAGCTGGAAGCCTGGAGACTCCTCCCTCTTTGGCGCCATAAATCCCATCAACCAGTAGAAGGGCAGCATTAACCACTTGATCCAAGTCAAACAGTGGTAACCCCCGATCCCTTTTCGCTTGTCTGACGATCAATTTCCGCTTCAGCCTCCGAGCTTCTGGGGTCATTGCAACTGCATTGGGACATGCTTCCAGCCTCTTGAGGAGCAGCTTCTCCTCATAGATGCTCACGGGAGTAAACTTGGGACCTTTGGGTTTCGTGTCCTTCTCTAACTGAGGCTTCCGCTTTTCTCGAGCCCTTGTTTGCAGAGATGTGTTGGAATCTGTGTCTTCACTGTCCATGTCTATCCTGTCGGGTTTTTCCTCCTCGCTCTCTACCTCCTGCTTTATCTGTTCGGGTGCCCGAACCTTCTTTCTGCCCCCAACTCCTGTCCCAGAGGCTGCTGAGCCAGCAGGGGGCGGGACGTACTCCATCCCTGGGTCTATGACTCCATCCCCTTCCATCTCGTCATCATCTGTTGGGGGTGAAATCAGCGTCATCAGCACAGGGGAGAGAAGAAAGGCAGATCACATCACCCCAGGTGGACGCTCACGGCTAACATCACGGCCAGACCCAACACAAGAGACCCAAGCAAGGTAAGACTTACCATGAAACAAGGCTTGTGGCGGCATCACGTCCGGAATCAGATCCGCTTCTGAGAGCAAGCTGGGTGTGGCAGAGTGAGAGGCAGGTGTCCCAGGGGCCGAGAAATCCAGGGATGGAGAAGGGGATGGGCTTGTCAGCGGGGTGCGGTCGGAGGAGCTCAAGGATGAAAAGTCAATCACTTCCCCTTTCTCGAGAATCACGTCTGGCCTACGGCCTCGGCTTATGAACTTTACAGGGGTAGAAGATGTGCTCCGGTCAAGAAAACCAGCTGCTTCCTTCTGGGCTCTTCTAATGTCTTTTGCTTCCTGAGTTCGAGACCTTTTCTCTTTTAATTCCATGGCAGACTCCACAGGATTCCGACTTGCTCGTTTCCTAAGTCCCTCAACAGTAATGATAGGATCTAATGTTGGTTTGGACGATGCTTTAAAAAAGGAAAAAAAAAAAATCTAAATTTTAAGAAACTATTCAACGTTAGTTTCTTTTGCCAATTTGTTATGGTGAACTTAGTACCATGTTCGCTAGAGAGAAATATTCAAAGGTTATCTTAAACTAAATGACCTGAGTATTTCTTAAGGAAAAAGAAGTTACAATGCAAATTTAAACAATGAAATATTATTGTTCTTCTATTGGAATTGGTATTAAGTGTGGGGAGGGGCCAGCAGATGGCATAATGGTTACATCGCTGGTTTCCCTCGTAGACAACCATGGTTCAAGTCCCAGATCCAGCAGCTTAAAATGCACACCAGGTACAAGTGCATGCGTGCCCAAAATACTGAGAGGAGAATGGAGAAGAAGGGATTATAGTGTGACCATCCCCCAATGACATTTTTTTCCCAATGACATTTTTCTTTTCCTTTTTTTTTTATTTTTAGACATTTTTGCTATAAGGGCATGTATATTTGCTGGAGAGACAGAGACAGACAACGGAACAGAGAGCAAGAAATCACCCCCTGGGGGTGGCCATTCTACAATCTCTTCTCCTCATTCCTGTCCCAGGATTTTGGGCACGCATGCACATGAGCTGGTGTGAGTTTTAAGCCTCCAGGTCTGGGACTTCAGCTGCAGTTGACTACATGGGAGTCCAGTGACATAACCATTATGTCATCTGCTGGTCCCCCAATTTCATTTTTTAAGGTTTCAAAGCTTATTAAAATTTTTAAGATTAAAAAATATCAGATCGATGTGTGACAGTAAGGGAATACTGTTCATTTTTCTTAAAAGTGAAAACAGCATTATATTTCGGCTATAGAAAGCAAAAAATTGGGACCAGCAGTTGGCGTAATGGCTATGTCGCTGGACTCCTATGTAGTCGACCGCGGTTCGTGTCCCGGACCCGGTGGCTTAAACACACGTCGGGCGCGTGTGTGCCCAAGATCCTGAGAGGAGAATGAAAGAGAAGGGAC